AATGACCCTTCATTTTGCTCCCCAAACAAATCAAGACATCCACCTCTATTCCGTTTGTACTGGTGATTTTCTGTTGCCTTATAAAGCCTCATTCAAGGGCCTTTGTAAATGCATTTGTTTAGGTTGTAGATGGATCGTTTAATGCATGATGAAAGAAGGCACTTGTATATTTTGGGTTTGTGAAACATTTGTCCCATACTCTCCGTGTAAACTATTTTGCTTTGTAATGGGAAAGGATAGTTCAAATAGAGGTGCACAGGTTGTCCTGTTGATGTCAGGGGCGTTGGAACAGTTTCAAAGTAGCATGGAAGCATTGAAGTCAACTTGCATTTGCAACCTATTTTGTTTCTGTAATGTATCAGATGACTAAAGCCTCTTATTTCTTTTAAGAAAATATTGCAATCACAGTTTTTTTCCCCACTGAAGTACTTCCCTGAAGTAATGTGTTGAATATGGCTTTAAAGCTGCATCATTGCATTTATAATGAAATTTAACAATCCATTATAATACCTAATGTGTAACGGAGGCCATCTCAGATTATCCACTTGCGCTTGCAACAGAAGCGCACAAACGTACAATTTAAATTAGGAAAGTTCATGCGGCAGAGTTTGTATTTCAGCATTATTATTCATAATTGCATTCATCAATTTCAGAAAAGTAAGGTAACTGTTGTTGTTTTGTTCTCCAGTTGTGATTCTTTAGTTTGTTGATGTAATTTTTTCCTTTAATTTTATTGATCCATCAAATCATAGTCTGAACAAATGTTTATTTAACACTTAACATGAAAGACTTATGGTGAAGTTTAAAGCTCAAGCTGGTATGATTCTTGGAACAAAAAACACTCTTAGCAGCCAAATTAGGCTTATCCACTGTAATTTACATAGAACTCGAAATTCTGCCAGACCGACACACTTAGATAATTAGTGTTCTAAAGTGACTTAAAAACATAGCCGGAGATGTTGTTTACATGTATGGAAGCCACTTGGATCGTTCAGTTTTTCTTGGACGGCCTTTTATCATTCAAACAACGAGTGCATATTTCCTGTTCGAATAAGACGCATACTGTAAATGCCACGTGATGGCCATGACATAACTTAAAATTAGGATCAGTAGAGTTGAATGCAGAATATGAATGGGGTCCGACGGGCACTTTTTCTTGTTTGTTTCCCCTCTTGGGTCCCAGTGTCTCTTTAAGACCTGATTTGACAGTGATATTGGAAAGCCATCAAATTTTCTGGTTTAGAGCTTGAATTTAATCCCCTCGATGAATTGATGAAAATACGATTCAGAATGGAAGACTCCGGTCATAGCTCCAGGTATAAATCAGCTGGCGGTGAAAAGATTTCCGTAAAATGTGGAAGCGCTGGGCCCTCTAGGGTGGCTCTTGGACACCCTTGCCCTAGACACACCAGATCCCAGCATCCTTTTTGACATGCCTGTGGTCAGAGCTGGGAAAGCCGTCCTCAGACATGCTGCTGTTCCAAAAATCTCGTACGAGGCAAAAAAAACGTCAGCTGTGCCGTCTGCCTTACTCTTTCCATTTATAATTACTAGCCCAGTGAGAGCATGTCCCATCAGTGCTGGTCTGAATATCATGGCATACAATTGATAACAAGCAAAACCCTGCCAAACACAAGGCGATCATGCTGGGCAGTCGTTGCACTGATGTGATTGTTCACAGTTGATTGTGTTGTTCAAGCTCATGTTGACAGCAACAGTTAAAATAATCATTTAACTGCCGCAAGGCTTTGCTGAAACAGCTCTGACAGTGGGATGAAAGGAATAACACCCTTATGATTAAGCAACAGGGGAAACGGTTTGTGATATTGCCATACCACCCTCAATTAACAAAATTCAATATGGGAAACGCTCTGATAGTTTTTGGCTTTTTGAAGTTCCAGCCTCACGCCAGTCCTGGTTTCCGCCTGTTCTCTGCACTACGATCGCAATCAGGTCTGAAGTGTGTGGGCTGAGTTGGGGAGATTTTTTTTTTTTACCAATTTACGGTGAATGTCAGGTTTCTGTAAACATGTTCAAACTGTATACCATATGTCTTTATGTGTGGTTGGGGAAAAAATGTGTCCAGATCATTTCCATGTCACAAAAAACATTGAAGTCTCGTGACATGAATCAAGCTACACAATAATGTTGTCTATTTTTTTGGTTAACATGAAAACAACATGATAAAAAACAAAAAAAAAAATGCTATGTATTCTCTTTTATAGTCCGTTCTAGAGCTTTGTGTTCCAGGATAGTTGATTGGCAACATTGCAATTTTACAATGTAAACTTAAATGTGTATAGCACATAGTATTGATTGTGTAGCATTTAGATAACATAAATGCTGATGAATACAAAAAAATATATATTTTTATAATTCAACATCACTGATTTTTTGAAAGAACTACTTCGACTACAAGAGTTAAATTCCTGTATGGTTCCTCCTGTATGTCCATTGTCGCATATTAAAGGTCTCAAGCATATCTGATCCCAAGTAGTCAAGCTATTTTTAAAATTGCCAGTCCTTTATCAAATTTGAAAATGTACGTCTATTTCATGTAATATTTATTAATTAAAAAAAGGTTGCTTCTCAAATTAAGCTCAGTGTGCTCCCTTTAAGCTGGGCAGTGAATAATGGCAGTGATTTGCAAACCATCGTTTGAAGCTCAACAAAGTGCATCAATCCATCATAAAAGTGCATCTATCATGATAAAAGTGCATCAATCCATCTTAAAAGTGCATCAATCCATCATAAAAGTGCATCTATAATGATAAAAGTGCATCTGTTCATCATAAAAGTGCATCTATCATAGTAAAAGTGCATCTATCCATCATAAAAGTTCTGTACACGGCTTTGGGGAGTTAATAAAGGCCTTCTGAAGCAAAGCCATGAGTTTGTGTAAGAAAAATATTCGAATAATTGAAACTTTATGAAGTAAAGTAACTAGCTTACGGTCAAACTAGCATCCAGATTCAATTTAAGTGTAAAGGGCAACTTGTGCAAGGATTGTGTAATGGACTTCTGACATCACCAGTTGTGTAAGTTGCGCTTTAGATGCAAGTGGATGACCAGATCTGATCTTTTAGAATCTGTGCTTGATTTTAAAGTTCTGTTTGTGTGTGTCTTATTCTTTAAAAAGGTTGTTTTGCACACATTTGGGTTTCACTTTATTTGGATGGTCCCTTTAACACATTCTGTTGACTATAAGTAACGTTGTACCTACATCTCTACTAACTCTCACTAGAATGTTAGTAGAGTATTAGTAGACTGGTAGGATTAGGGATAGAATAAGTTGACATGTAGTTGCAAAGTTACTTATAGTCAGTAGATTGTCTGTTGGAGGAGCATCACAATAAAGATTTGGCAAATATTAAGCTGAGAGTCTACTAATACTCTAATGAGAGTTAGTTGACATGTAGTTGCAAAAGTTACTTATAGTCAACAGATTGTTCAAAAGGGACCATCAAAATAAAGTGTTCCCCACATTTGTAATAAAACATCTTGTGAGCTTATTGGCAACAGGGGTGACGTACAAAACATACTTATTAAGCACAGCCAGACTTTTTATATTTTAAAAAATAAAATGAAATATTATAGTGTGAGAGAGTAATATTTTATTTTAAATGAACTTACTAAAACCAATATATCTTGAGCACTAAAAATGTGTCAAGGCAGATTTTGGTGAGCTTAATAGGTACGATGTACCCTGGTTCAGTTGGGGAGCAGCAGATTGATTGATGAAGAGTATTAGAACAGTGAGGATTATTTTAAATGGCAAACCTTCACTCCTCCATGTGTATGGTTTGTCCATCTCGCTAAGCTTTCTCTTGTATAATTTTCTGGAAAATGTTTATGAATGACACATATTAAGCCATGCAGAATTTTCTTTTTATGTGGTGCGCTCTTACTTATTTATTCAGACTGAAGTAAAGATTTGGGAAAAAAGGTCAGCGAAATGCATGATATTTTATAAAGCGTTGTGGTGGGTCGTCCAGTTCGGACTGTTACTCTATCTCGGTTTGTGATATTCAAAACTTGGCTCCAATCAATAGCAATGTCTCTGGTTTGCAGCTATTGTGTGTGCCCAAGGACATTTTCCTGTAAAGGGGACGCTAAGGCGCTTACATTTAACTTTATTGTGAAACGGTATGGTCGTTACTGGCTCCTTTGTCTTCTACCAGCAACATGATCCTTCTCGGAGTCAATGCGGTTTTGGGCTTTCAGCGGCTGTCTGAACTATACTTGCAGGAGTTGAGCTTTGAATCAAATCACTGTGCTGCGAAAACGTCAGGCCTCGCTAGTGTCACAGTAATGACAGTTTCTTTAGTCAATGAAAGTTTTATGTGTCAATGAAAATGTCTTAGACAGTTCTATAGCAGCACACGTTTATCCATTCAACTGAGCCCTTTGTAGTTAGCTTGCTCTGTGGTGAAGTGGTTACAACTTAACGTTTCTGGTTTGATTGCAAGAAAGCAGTCATGAACTCTCATCGTGCTCCCTTGAGCAAAGCACTTAACCTCAGTAAGTGTACGTTTTTATTTCACTACATTCTGCATTCATGTAGGTCAAGATTAAGGTTGCTGATAATCCTGTATTTAAGCAAAGAATCTTGCATTTTTATATTCATTCTATACGGGATGCAATTTGTCCCTTATTTTAGCGCCTCACATTAAAACACTTGGGAAAGCTTCCGTATCTGATTTGAATTGATTTACTATTCAGCATCCAATTGCGCATATTAGAATAAATTAGAAAACAAATTGCTTGCGAGGATGATAATGATTATAACATATTCATCTTATAATTTGGCTAGGCTGAAGTTAAGTCAATAAAATGTCATTTTATTGCAGAATTTCATTTTTGTTTTTTACTTTGTGAGTAATTGTCACATCACCAGTGGTTTACTAAAAATGTAGATTGTTGGCAACCCAAGTCAAGATGTCACTTATTTGGTGTTATTAGCTGGTAAAGTGTCTGTTTTGTGTCTTCTTCTATTGCAGCTAGCTATGGAGCGTATCCCATTTGTAAAGGCTGCTCGGTGTGTTCAAAGGACAACGGATGTATGAACTGCCAGCCCAAGCTCTTCCTGTTTCTGAGGAGGGAGAGGATGAGGCAGTACGGCGAATGTCTCCACGCCTGTCCTTCAGGCTACTACGGCATGCGCGGGACAGAGATCAACATGTGCTCCAGTAAGATCCTACACTTACTCACATTTACAAATGCACATACACATACTGTAATAAGTAATTTGGCCTTGAATTTGATACAGTAAGCTTGTTTTGAGTGAACTGACAAATCTGACAACATGTCAATTTGGCAAGTTAGGACTTTGCATAGAGGATATTCACTATTGTAATCTGTAATCTTAATTTTATTTGTTTATAGATGTCTGAAGACCCCTTTTTCCAGCATTTTCCATGTGTTCTATCAAATGTTTAAGTGTTATCTGTAGTTCCTAAACTTTTATATTACAATCATGTGTATGAAACAAGTAGGGATGTGCAAAACAACATTTCATAAATCAACTAGCCTAGTCATTTGGGCAACTGAAATCTTTTTTCAGTATTTTTTTATGAACTGAAAGCAATATTGACATAAAGATTGACTAATCAGTTTCGGTTTGACCTGATCGGAGACATTTTCTATATAACGTGTTTTTGCAAGGGTATCGAGATGAGTTTTTTACAAGTTACAATATGACTTGACCTAGTGTGTTAATACGTGGCATTTGAGATTGGACGTTTAGTTGACTTCAATTATTGACTAGTCAGATGTTGGATCTTACCCATCCCTAGAAACAAGAATGAAATAGGAAAACAAAATAGTAACAAAACAGAGTAATATAATAGTCCTATTGGAACTGTGTGTCCCCCTCCTTCCATGCCCTGTATTTCATAACCTTATTTTAACATTTACGCCAGGCCTGAGACACTCCGGACCTTTGAGGTTAAGCGAAAAGCCTGAGGTGTTGGCTTTGTACTTTATGTGAAAACAAAACTCTAACTCTTTGGATTGTTCGAGCCAAACTCCTGACAGACAGACTTGAAACCTCAGAGGAGTGTGTCAGGACCTACAATGCTAATAAACCCAGATCCAGTACAGACACCCCTGTATAAAAACATGTCCCGTCTCACTCAGCAAACTCTATACTGATTTATTTGCCAATTTTATCAAAAGAGGAGGAGGGGGAAACACCTAAAACGCCTCATTTACCATAAAATGGATGTACCAATTGAGGCTACTTAGCGTTATAAAGCTTGCCTGTTCTCCACTAGTAATCAAAGTCATTGCACCTATTTTGTAAGTTCTTAAGTTGTGGAGAAGGGACAAAGTCATGTTGTTTTCTGAGACTGTCCTCCAACCATTCGTTGTCCTGGTTGAATTTTGATTTTAAATGATACTGATATGTGGCCAGTTAATCTGGATTCCTTTCCAGGAGAAGTTCTCTTAGAACAAAACCTCACATTGTCATGTAGCATCAAATCTCTGAGCAAAGCCTACTTTGATGTGATCACTGTTTCAGTCACGACTTTGTAATCCAACTTCGCATTTGACCCATCTCCTTAAATTATGCTTTTTCTGTCATCTTCGCTAAGCTCTTCATGTGTGCCAGTCATAATGGTATGTTCTATCAGGGTCAGCGCGAGAACTAATTGCCGGGTCACTGGGAACAGTTTCGAACACACGCCATCCGTTCAAACTCGCTCCGCAAGTCCGCATTCTCTCTTGTCCGGGTTTTCAGCACAACTGAAGTTTGTTCTTCCAAGAGCCTGAAACGGTAGATTACGTTGGAGTTGATCGTGTTTTTAAAAAACATGCTCTGAAATCACTTAAGCAGCAGCTGCTTATCATTAGACCTTGAATGTGTGTGTGATCCTATCTCGTTTAAAAAATGCTTCACAGTATCGCCAGGCCTGAGTGAAAACAAAGGCAAAGAGGAGACAGGTTTGCACTACATCAGTCCAGACTCTTCCGCTGGAGCTGTGGGGTGGGGTCGAGCGCTTTTGAAATCCAAATTGAACACTGAGATAATTTGGCGAGCATCATATGCGTGACTGAAATATCTCAAATGTGAAGAAGGAAGATTGCATAATTTATTTAAAGGGATAGTTCACTTTGAAATTAATTTTTGATATGTTTTAGCTTACCTCAACGGGATCCAAGATGTAGCTGTCTTTGTTTCCACGGTATTTTCAATTTTGATATTTTTAGGTCAAATTGTTCTTGTCTGTCAGTCATATAATGGAGGTTTATGGGGTCCACCCTCATTTCACCTCAAAGAGCATGCACAGAGAAGTCCAAATTAAACGTGATTTAATGACTCATAAATGTAAGTACACATTGATGGCCTAAACACGAAACTATCCCTTTAAATGGTTAGTTCACCAAAAAATAAAAAGTTCTTTAGATTATTATAACATACTTTACATGAAGGGAAAAAGGGTTATTTATTTTTAAGAACTGTTCACTAAAAGGCTCTTTGGGGAACCAAAAATGGTTCTTCAATGGCATCACTTTTTGAAAATTTATTAAGAGTGAATGGCCATCTAAATTCTCAAATGATCATACAGACCTGTAAAACTCAGCAGATGGTGATTGATTGAACAATTTGAGAGAGACATACTTGGAGAGCTTGTTTAATGATTACCTGATCTCACAAGATTGTTTGACTGTGTGCGCAATAGCCTTTCTGCTTTTGGTTAGTTGTTCCTAAACACTTCTGCAGCCTACCACTTAAGCTAACCAGATAAAAAGAGAGTGTGGGGAGGATGAAGGAGAGATAAACGCTGGAAAAGAGATTCAGAATGCAGACAGAACTGGTGTGCTGGTACCATCAGTTTTTTCCACAGGTTGTCAAGTGGAAGCCCTCTTTCTCATCCATCTTGAACCCTCCTTTTCTCCCTTTACATTTTACATATTTCAGTGTCACCACAAGGAACCCCCGCCCCCTCCACACACACCCTCTTTCTCACGGATACACGGATGCATGAAAAGCCTCTAGACTGAGAATTAGGGTATAACATGCAGTCAGGGAGACCCTTTACAGCAGCCAACAAGCTGATGCATCTCTTTTATGGACATGCGAATTCACAGTGACAGGGCTGTGAGTATTAATGCTGACTTTATGAAATAAGTTTGGCATGATTAATAGCCCATGTTAGTAAGCAGCCTTCCACTGAATGATAGATATTGGCCCCAGATGACCTCCCGTTTCTCCATACGTGAAGTTTCCTGTCATCTCTTTACTCACATGGAAACCCTTTCTCAGAGCTTTCTGATTGCCAATATCCTGGACGTGTAGTTCAAGTATTTTTGACAGCTCATCTAGGACTAGTATATGTGCCACATGAGAGCCCCCGTGTCAAGGATAATAGTTTCATCCAATTTTTTACTATGTTTTATCGTCATTGGTGTTGTAAAATCTGTTCCTATACTGTACTGTTGTTGTAATAATTCCCACGTTGACACTTATTTAAATGGGCAATTGCAGGCGTTTGGGTAAGTCTGTTCGAAACCTTCCTGAGCTTCTGAGTTTTACGGGTAGTTATGATAATCCAATGGGACTGAGGTGGACCTCAGCCACACGAAAGGACCGTTGCCTGAAGTGGTACCCAATAGTTAAAGAATCAACACAATTCCACAATATACCATTCCAATGAGGTAATGAGTCCTGTACCCTCTGGAAAAGAATGAGTTGTTGCAGTTAAATCTATGTCATTTGGGACCAGCAAAAGAGCAGTTACGTTGGCCCCTCTGTCTTTCTCTCACACCAGAGAGCTCGATTTGCCAGACAGTATAAGTGGTACACCTATCCTTCACCTTGTTGCTACTGAGTTTTACAGATCTGTATGATCATTTGAGAATTTAGATGGTCCCAGTTGAAGTGAATATACATTTACGGACACTTTAATAGTTGGTATTTTTGTTATTGCCTACATCTTAAAACGGGCCACAGTTAAAATTAATGATTGTTGTTGCATTAAATAAGGAAACATCAAACCAAGTGATTTCTGCAAACAATTGAATTTTAGCTTTTTTTCGCAGCCAATTTTGGAATGACTTTATAGCAAATTGAACCTTTAACCACTAACTTCGACAACCAGAATGTTCTATATATATATATATATGAAGAGTTCAGATGCAAAAGCCTCTAAGTGCCATTTGAAATTTTCTAGAATGATCATTTTTTATCAAGCTTGTGTATTTAAGTTCAGTGATTTCACTTAAATGGCAATGATAATTACCTATTAATTGTTATTTAAGTGAAATTACTGAACTTAAATATAGGTACAAGTTTGATAAAAAATCATCATTCAAGAAGAAAATTTCAAATGGCATTTAGAGGCTTTTGCATCTGAACTCTTCATATACTTATAAATATATATATTTATATACTTATAAATATATATATGTTCTATATATGTATTTATATACTTATATATATATATATACTTTTTGCATTGGGCTTTCATCACATTCCTACCGCCTGTTCTTATCCTCATGTCTGTGGAAGAACATGTAATCTAATTATGTCATATTAGCCTCATGTTATCATCTAGGCCTCCAAAAGTGTCTCATGTCAGTGGCCTTTTTTACACTTAAAAAAATGCATTTATACATAAACAACATTTATCTTCATAGATTAAAAATTCTATTTATAAAAATGCATATATATATATATATATATGTGTGTGTGTGTGTGTGTGTGTGTGTGTGTGAGAGAGAGTGCGTGCATTTTTATAAATGATATACTAGATTATAATTTAAAAAAAAATATTGCTTGAATTGCAGGCTGGATAAGCTCTTAATAGCCGTTTGGTGGTTTGAGACCCTAAATGATCTTCTCTCTGATGGTTAGATTATTGATTCAATGTGAGACTTTTGAACCCAGGGTCACCTTATTCAGATACACAGATAGTGTTACTAATTTCTAACAGATATTCCAACACAGTGGATTTTGATATTGCAGCATCTGCACATGATCATGGATGACAAATGACATTTCATGTCAAGTCAGTCCAGTCACTGTCTGAGTCGTGTGCCAGTAGTTGCTCCTTTTTCTTTTTCGTCCTCAATTCCTTGTTGAAGTAAGCGATCCAAAAGGTGATGACAGCCTCCCAATGGCTGCAGTATATCAGGGCGAGGACAGAGGCGGCTTTTCTGTTACAAAGCTCATTTATTAGCTGTT